TTGCCATGGTATAGTTCTTCAAGTTGCTCAGTCTTGATTACTTTATGTAAAATAGCTCTAATAAACCTATTTTATTCTTACGTCTCTTGCATTGCCTGTATTTTCAGCTACCAGCTAAATTTTGTGCTACGAGACCATAGCATGAGAGCAGACAGAAGTACATTTTTCCTCTCTGTGAAACAGCCTTAAAAGAAGCTGGAACGTGTATGGTGGGGGGAGTTGTTGAGATACATTGTTGTGGGAAGACCGAGAAGAACAGGGTGTCTACCTCCGTGACCTGTCTCTCGAGCAGTACTTGAGCTGAGCAGGACAGTGGTCGCAGAGCTGGCTGTGCCAACCGCTCGGGGAATCTGGTTGCCAGTGCTCCTTGCTCAAAGCCCTCCTGCCACGTTAGGCAAAGTCTGGTTGTTCGTACTTCAGCATTACATTGGGTCTAGGAGACCTTCTGCTGAAGACCACATTTTAAATACAGCCTTCTAGGAAAGACACACTGCCCATCTGGATGGGGTATTATTTCCCATCATTGAAATTTGTTTGGGTTTTTAATTAAATATCTAATTCTCCTTCACCATCTTACCACAGCAGCAAGAAAAGTAGTCTTTTCTCACTGTGCCCATAGTGCTCCTATTACTGAAACCCATTACTCCAGGACGCAGCCAGCAGGAGAAGGAGAGGTTTGGTTTTGTTCTTCCGGGCAGGACAACAACGAGATCCCACACGGAGCATAAGCCAGCCCGTACAGCTGTGGTGCGAGAAGCTGCTCAGCTTTCCAATCACTTTACCCAACAGCAGGCTTTGTGGCTGTGCTGCTGCGAGTGGAATCAGCCTTCATGGATTTCGCATATGACAAGCCAAGAATAAACACCTCCAAGCAGAGCTGGAGCGAGAGCAGCAGACAGCAAGCTGTGGCACAGGAGTCTAGCTATCGCTATGTTACAGTTGCCACAGTCTTCCCACGGACTTTTCTTTCTAGGAGGGGAGATGGTGACAGTTGCTGCTGTGCAGACCACCAGCCTGAGGCCTGTTACTTCTCAGGGAATTGCAAACTCCACAGCTGGACTGAAATAATAAAAAGTTTGCACCTTACCAGAAAGCCTGGGCATCGCCAGCTAGGTGAAGATCAAGACAAAGTTAGCAAAATAACAGATTGGCTTGGCAGTTCCTGCAATTAATACACACTGGTCTCAATAACATGTGTTTTCATTTAATAGCTTTCATGCTATTTGACTTTAAATAAGCAATACTGAACTACCGAGCCAGAGCACATCTGAGCACTAGCAGAAAAAGCTGTGGCAAGACACCCTTGTCGACACGCGGGGGGTGCTGCCCCCTTCTCCCCAGGCGTCTCCCAGCCGTTGCCTCCTGATGCCTCTTCTGCAGCCCCTTCCCAGCCGCTCCCAAGGTTGGGGCTCTCTCTCCGATCACAAAGGAGCGCTCAGAGCAGGCACCGCTCCTACCCCATCTTCATGGTTGCATTGCTAACTGCTTTCATGGCTTCTCATGCAAACCTCAGGAGCTAGGGAGTTTTACAGTGCTTACGCTGCAGCAAAGTCGGATATTCTGTGTGAAAATCATCACTATTTGAGGCTTGTCAGATGTGTTTTTGCTGTCTTTAACACTGACATGTGTCTATCCACACATCTGGGAATATGCTCAGTCCAGCTGTTTTTACTACCAGCATGCTTTAGACAGATAAGCAGAGAATACTGATTGCGCTGATCGCATATACCTGTGGATGTTACTCCTCTGTGTGTTAGGAGAGGTCATTACCATTTGTTTTGTCGGTGTATTTTAATGTTGATCAAGATATGTATTTCGGTGACATCACTTTTGCCCTTCAGACCAACTTACATACACTTAAGGGTACAAATTATTTCAAAGTAACAAGCAATACTTACCTGAGTTTTATCCATAATTAGAAGTCAGGTTTTTCCCGTAATGTGGGTTGCGTGCTGCCCACTTTTTGCAGGGGATCCTAGCCTGAACATCCCGGCTGTAGTCTTTCCATAGCACTGCAGGACTATAGCCGGGGCAGTTCCAAAAGCACATTTGCAAAACAAAAAGGCTGAAATAGGTCAGTGTGATGCTCCGTTTGCTTTTTAAATCCTAGATAAAGCATAAGAGTTTCAATCCCAAACTCCACAGAGCGAGTGGGAGGCACGAATCAATAGCAACACAAACACACCACCCCAAAACAGAGAGCCTGTCCAGTAAGCCCCGACAATTCACATCACTGAGGTCTGTGCTTGCTGCTTTCATGAGCATCAGGAATTGGGATTTTTTGGTTTCTAATGGCAAAAGCTAAAAGAGTAAAAGCAAAGGGAAAAGTGGGCTTGACCTGAGTAAGAAAAGGGAAACATGCTGTAAACAGGGAATATTTAGAGGGGGAAAAAAATGTGTAGCAGTAACTTTGCTATATATTTTTCAACGAATAATTACTGAAAACAAGTCAGAAAGTGAGAATGTAAGGCTACAAATACATTTGTACTACAACAGAAACACTTGCTGAACACTGCATTCTGCGCTGGAGCTCTGAAACACAAACGAAGAGAAGTCTAGAAGGGCTGAATCAGCACGAGAAGCCAGGTCAGAAACAAGTTTTTAAAGATACCTGCTAGAATTTTAATTTTTGCATTTGTAAGGCTCCTGGCTGACAGTTATAAACCACTCATAAATCAATGAAAAGTGTATTTTGAGCAGGCTGAGAAAAAACAGCCAAAGCAGAAAGGTTCAGTGCTGTGAAGGACTGAGAGTCAAAACAAATGACTGAAGAGCATAGGCACAGAGGGAGCAGGAAGCTTGAATGGGTGCAGACTGGAGAGGACTTGAAAGCAGGCAGCAATGGAAATTTGGACTATAAGGAAAGCGTCCCTGAAGGCTGATTCCATGCACGAGAGATGACTTTCCTGAGGCTGCCTCTATAGCCAGAGGAGACAAACTTCTCTGGAGCTCTGATCGGAGCATTAGTCTAAGCAGATGCTCCGAATCACCCACTTCCCTAACCAGAGGCCTTCGAGCCTGTCCTCCTAGTCCATAAACCACCTGAAACAAAAGTTACTGATTAACCTCAGGTACCCTTTCTCCATTAGAGCAAAAAAAGGATTTGGCAGAACATGGTAAACAAGATACTTAATCTGTTCATAATAAAGACACGTAAGATGCAAACGTATGCCTAAACATGGCTGAAAATAGGACTTCAGCTTCTCAGTAGCTTCAGGGAATGTTTTCAAGAATACGTAGCAGGTCAGTTCCTCAGAAGCATGTGATGAAAATGGCTGGACTACAAAGAAACATGAAAAGACCAAAGTGAGATCTCAGAGGAATTCCGTCAACAATCTTTATGAAAATAATCTGTTGTTACTAAAACAGAGTTTTGTGAAAAAAGCATGGGATTAAGTCTTTCCAGTTTTCAAGTTTCGTGTGATGAGACACAAAGTGAGTTCTTTCCATTTCTCCTTCTTGAAGCTTTCCGGCAATTTTCAACTGGCAGCTGGAGCTCCTCCATACATATGTCACCAACTCAATACAATATGTCCATTCAATTCAGAATTTAAAGAAATATGATTTTAGTTCCTGAGCACATTCTGCTGAGCATCTCATTAACACCCTGCCAAGAGTGTGAGAGAACAGTAACAGCCTTTCATAGGAAAACTCTGAATGCATCAGCTGCGTTATGAATTTGTGCTGCGTATAAAAGTACCACCTGGAACAGAAAGCAGCCCTGTATGTCAAGAATGAAACGTGGGAGGTAAACAGGACACATATAGGAAAGTTTATAGCATCTCTGCCTGCGTAAGGCCAAGTTTTAGTCCAAGCTGATTTCCTCAGACCTGGCTGAGGCACGGAAACCCAAACCTTGCCAGTGGGTGCTCTGAGCACACAAGTACGTATCGATTATAGTAAAGGCAGAAGAGTTTATAATACCTTAAGAGTGTCTGTGGACTTCCCACAACTGGTCTTCAGCCTTTCACAATTATAAGCAGACGGACAAAAACTCAAATAGAGCCAACAAAGGCAAACTGTACAAGTCCACAAAACCAACTTAAACCCCATGCTTGAATCCATTCATTGTATACCGCAGCATACACTTCCTGATGTGTAAAGTCTGGACGTCCTGAAATGCAAAAGACCAATTTCAGACCTCATCGTCTCCTGCATCCCCCTGCACACAGGCTGCCTTCTGGGGAGCGCTTCCTTCCGTGTTTTTTTGTTTGGGTGTTGTTTTGTTCTGCACAATGTCCTTGCGTGACCTCATCACGCCTTTTTGCTGAGCCAGGACCACTGCTCATTTGCTTCAGCACAATACCTCTTCCACATCGTTTGGGACAACGATCAAGGGTTCCATAAAGGTAATTAGTATTATTGATCTTTCTAACTGCATCATAATGTGTTCCACCTCAAAAATCAGCTAAATGGAACCAGAGATACAAATCATGAGTTTGGTTTGCATTACTCATCCTTTGCATCATGTCAAAATTGAGAAGGAATTGCAATCATACCCTCTTTCTGTGAACTGCATTTAAATCAAATGCAGCACATCCTAGGGCACATTAACAAGTAAAAGGAAGAAAACACTGCTGTTCTAAGAATGGGTTAACACCCTTCTTTCTAGCAGGAACGACAATATTAGTTCAGAGTTTTCCTCTGGGCATTTTAGTTTACCTCTTTGTGCTGATGCTGAATTCCATAGTCCCTCCACACTCGAAAACCCTGGAGCTTGTCACCCTGTCACAAAAACACTGCACACGCGGAGAGAACTGCTGCCAGCTGGATGCTCCAGAGTCTACCACATAGAGCTCCCCCGCTCCCGGCGTTACTGCCCATTTCAAACTTGCTGACTACAAAACATTTCAGGAATCATCCAGGTGGCCTCGACCAGCAGTGCTCGTGCGCACCCTCTGGGCGCTAGTTTCCATCCAAAAAACCAAAATCATGTAATGGTCTCTATGCCCTCAAGTTAGCAGGCTAGTTTGAATGGAAATAGTGAATAAACAGGTAATTCTTGCTATGTAAACAGAAAGCATCCATACGGCACGCCAAACTGCTCTTCTCTGCAGAGCATCCACAGCTGTTTGTGAGTTTTCAAGATACAGGTATGGGCTCTTGGTTCCTCCGCTCAGACCCTGGAGGTCCCCTTCTGTCTGATCCCTGGAAACAACCGGACAAGTGTCTGTCACTGGTTCAGCCAATCTGTTCTCCCAAGTTGTTCTGGCTTAGAGGTGATCAGAACAATCCAGTGAAACATCACTCCACCTCTTAGAAAGAGATAAACTTTAATCCTTGCAAGTGGTAGATCATACAACTCCTAGCTAGCTGGATTCAACCACAGATGGCAGGCAGAATTCATGCACTGTGCACACAGCCTGTTCCCCAAAACACATAGATGTGAACTAAAAGAAATGCCAAACAGCCAAGTAAAACTCCACTTATTTTCCATATGGCATTACCAGGCTTGGTAACTGCTGCAGTATGCTGCAACACATTAACTAACTGAAAACAGACACACAGTTCTGGTCATTTAGTAAACCAGTATTTTTATACATGCTTGCTTTCTTTTTGGCCACATGAAGTCTTGTGAAGGTTAAAAAAAACAAACAGAAAAACAGACACCTAGATACAGCTTCCTCTCAATTTATTTGGCAAAGTAGCAATTCAGACAGTTCACACAGCACTTATTCAAGCTCTTCAAATCTTCTGCATTTCAACTTGTCCTCTTCTTCAAGGAGTTTTTACTTCAGAACCATTGCTCCATCATGGAGGGGTTTTCATTTTCCAATTCCTAAATGCTACTCCTGGATACTCCTTTCTGTCTCAGTACCTTGACTATCACCGACCCCTTCAGCAGAATGGGTGCACTAATCCCAACAGCCTTGGTCCCTGAAGTCTTACACCTCCTGAAGTGGTTCTCCAAAAAAAAAGCTGTCGCCAGGTCTCAGCTTTATCACCTCTTTATCACCTCTTCCAAGCTAGGCTGGCTTATTACACTGTGTCCAGAGACAAGAGTTTGGATACAGTTGAGCTCATATCTTTCATTTCACTGATTAAATTAGCGAGAAGATGTAAATAAAGCTGAACTCAAATTGAATGATACAGTGACCAAAAGGTTGAACATTAGCATGCATCATTTAAGATATTTCACTTCAACACCAAGAACTAGATTCACAGTTGATTGTGGGTTAGTACAAATTTGTCAGACGCAAGTGGGTTTTTCTGAATTGTATTTTCTAGAATACACGCTATATTAATTCCTTTACAAGATTAATCTTTGTGTATGTGCTCCCAGGCTGCAGTCAGATCAGGAGGTGGTACATTAACTTCCAAACATCTAAATAAATAAAGCGATACGTAATTTTTACACAGGAATAGGATGGGGCTGACCTTCAAAAGGAAGGTTATTTAAAATGTTCCTCTTTCATATTCAGAGGCCTTTGAATTTTAACCTTTATGCTTTCAGGGATTAATCCTATACAAAATTATTGCTGTTCCATCACAAAAAGTCAAATATATTTTTGCAGTGATTACTATGGGTTGTTTTATACAAGTTATTTTATTCTATGATCCTTTTTACCATAAGAAAAGAAAATAACGATAACATGCTGTTTACTTTAATTCCTGGTTGCTCAAATCTGAGCAAGATGACTCAAGACACACCTCCCCCCCTTCCCAAAGCAGCTCACCTTACTGTACTGCTTTGCAATTTGCTGTTGACATTTTGCAGCACGAAAACAGAAAACCTGGGGCAGAAAAAAAGGTTTATAGCCTTCCACTACTCTTCTACATGAAAATTGAACAATTGCATCTCTATCTGTACTTAGGTGTCCAGGATTCATTATTCCTTCTGCATGTATCATGTTTTCTTTGTACAGCAATTAAGAATTCACTTTCTAAAAAGCTAGAATTTTTCCTGGGTGCCCACAGTTAGAAAAATGAGAACGTTAATACAGCAAATGGCTTTGCCAAAAGCAACTTTCTTTCAGAACCAAATGATTTTTTTTTTTAATAAATAATCTAACGATCCATCTCTCAGTAGTCTACTACATACTGATCCTAATCTTCACACAAGCACACAACCCCCCTTTTGCTTTTAACTTTATTTGGCAAAGCAGCATTGCATGAACTGTTCAGTGATTGGGACACAGTTTACATCATATTTACAGAGTTAAATCCATGTGCATCACATCAGTTGTGAGCTATAAAGCAAAACAGAATTTCAAGACTCCATTAACTAATTTTAGAAGGAAAGGGAAAACCATGTCTGTTATATCCAACTTGAACAGCAATGTTTGATAAGAGCGGCCACCCACCTCTGATGTCTTGTTTAATATATACAAATGCCTGGTTTTAAGGTAATAAAGCAGCTGATTGTATCTACTACATGCTAGTCTATGACACCATGTCAAAAGCTTAAAAAGGAAGTTCATCTCCTTTTAGTAGCATCTAGCAGACATCAGAACACAGAAAACCTGGTATTACCTACGTAGTGTCATAAGGTGCACAGAAGCAGTTTTACCAAGGGACACAGGAGCCGAAAGAAGTGAGTGTTCAAGCACCCCCATCAAAATTAGAGTTCACAAGCTATAGGTCTTTATCTGCAGTTTTGCAGAAATTCACTTTGATGAAAGTAAAATAAAGGCATGTTAAATAAAACAGTGCCCACATAAAACTTTCCACCATTTCTTTATCAGATTTGCCTTGAGCATCTAAAAAAAAAAATAAAACAAACACCACGCTTTTCCATGCTGATAACAACAGTATAACGAAGTCCAAAACAAGCTGCAATGCTGTTGGTTTTCAAAAAGCTTTTAGAACTGGAGATGAGCAGTCCACTGTAACACTATGTTTGGGTCAAGATGATGTAGCTTTTACAATTCATCCCTGTAGAAAGAAAACACATGCAGTTATGTTTCTCCTCCCCTTGGAAATCATATTTGAAAAGTTTTGATACTCAATCAGATTACACTTAAGTGCTCAAGCACATCAGCAAAACCTCTGAAGTCTCTTCATTTTAGGGAAAAAAAAAAAAACCCACACACAAAGGAAAGGCAAGAGCAATCCCATATCATCTCATACTATAATGTGACGTATCATGAAATATGGGTCCCTCTATTTTACATTTAATGGATCATTTGCTTTAACGAACAACCCCCGCACCACACAGCTACCTGTCATCCAAACTCTGTTGGTTACATGCCGGCAAGAAACTGAGCCAACTTACTAGACAGTATTGGCAAAAACCATTCTCTGTAGCTGTCAAAGAGGCAAGTTTAGCTTCAGCTGCAGTCTTTCAAGCAAGCTAGGAACACAATCTCTCATCAACATCATGCAGTTTGTACCACCTATTTTATTTATTTCACAGAGGAGCTCGATTAGCTCCTGAAGGAACTATGCTAAATCAGGACTAGGTTATGGAAGGGGTGGGGGTGGGGTGGGGTGTGTGTGCATGTGTTAAAAGGAGATTCAGGTAGTAGAAAGAATGCATCAAGAAGTCTCTCTAAATCATTATGAGGAATCTAGAAGACGCAGGTTTTTGTTCCTGCAGGACATTTAAAATACATTGAAACAGGAAACCCATAGAACCCATATTCCAGCAGTGAAATTATCATATATTAGTGATTTGTTTAATATTTCTAAAGCATTAACTTTAATGCAAAATGTCCATCAAATCTGAAAGCTGTGCACTGTACCATTACGAATGTCAGAAAATTCAAACAGAAGTGTTTGCTTTTTTTTTTCTCCCGCAAGGCACAAACAATCTGTAAGCTCACAACAAGTTTGCTGCAATTTTTCTTTTAGTAGGTACATCACCCTCATTACCTAAAGCAAACACTGTCCGAATTAAGCAAAACTTCACTAATGTGATTGCTGGCTCAATACACAATAGTAATTCCAGCTATCATGCCAACTAACGCACAAAAATATAGTGCTACATGCACACAAGCAAAAGCTTTGAAGTTGCAAAGGCATTATTATCCTTCAGGAATCACATAGCATGGAGTGACAGCATGCAAAACATTTTAAAAGCAACTGAAAAGGCTGTTGCATCTAGTGCTCAAATGACTAGTTTTCTACCTAATGCAGCTGGGATGCAAACCTTGTGATTTGTTATGATAAATATTTGCACTTTGCACTGCCTTCTAATAGTGAGGTACTAACCATACAGCTTCAGTGTTGCAGTAATTACAGAAAGCAGAAAAAAGCAAAACGGAGAAGAATACATCTTGGCAGGGGTAAAGAAAAATCTGTTTATAACCAAAGGTTTGAAGTTCTCTACATTAGCCTATTTCACAGAAAGGGTATTTGCTTACTTTAAACAGATGAAAGTAAGTGAACATCTGATACTCAGTTTAAAAGGCAGTGCCGGTGAATTAGGACAAGTATTTCATTCACCCTTAATGTTTCCAGGAGCTGCATCATCAGTTAATATTTACAACTTCAAAAAGCGTATGTAAGTAATGACTACTGCTATTGCTGGTTTAGTCTCATATGCCTAATTGCTGATATGATTTTCATCCTGATTCCTACCACATACTCTCATAGCTTTGTAGAAGGTTGGCCTTTTACTGTGACAAATAATTCTTAATCCTTTAAATCCAAGCTACATCCTCAAGAAATTGTAAACCTAAGAAAAATTCCACATTTACTCTGAAACTATTAAACATGATAATTTTACCCAGCCACAGACGTTAGCAAGGTTTTTGCATGATGTTGCTAACGCACTTAATGTATTGAAGTGCGGTTTCTTTTCTTTTACAAAATGGTATTTGTATTTAGAATTCAATTAAGTGATGCTAACATTTCAATATTTTAATTGCTTGTATTTTGCATTGCTTTAAGCTATTCCTGACCAAATAGTAATGTTCCTGTAAGTTAAGTATATCCTAGATGTTGCTTTCAAAATAAAGATTTTAATATTCTGTTTATTAGAACATTTACTGTAGAAAGCGGATCAGCTTCCCACCAGAGATTTTTCACTCACCTTCACTACTCATTAATCTAACAACAGCATACCAGCCCAAACAATCCATGATGTATGTGTTAAAATTATGCAGCATTTTTTTTCTATTGTTGAGAAGCTGAGCTTGTATGTGCACTATTGGATTAGACATAGACCTGTTGGAGCGGGTCCAGAGGAGGGCCACAAAAATCATCAGGGGGGTGGAACACCTCTCCTATGAAGAAAGGCTGAGAGATTTGGGGTTATTCAGCCTGGAGATGAGAAGGCTTCAGGGAGATGAGTGGGGCTTATAAGGGGGCTTATAAGGAGGCTTATAAGAAAGATGGCAGCAAACTTTTTAGCAGGGCAACTTGCGACAGGACAAGGGGGAACGGTTTTAAACTAAAACAGGGTAGATTTAGACTAGATATAAGGAAGAAATTTTTTACTATGAGGGTGGTGAAACACTGGAACAGGTTGCCCGGAGAGGTGGTAGATGCCCTGTCCCTGGAAACATTCAAGGTCAGGCTGGACAGGGCTCTGGGCAACCTGATCTAGTTGAAGATGTCCCTGCCCACAGCAGGGGGCTTGGACTAGGTGACCTTTAAAGGTCCCTTCCCACACAAACTATTCTATGATTCTATGATTATATATATCATAAAGTTACAGAAAAGTCTTAGATCATCACTTCTCAGCTTTCCACCTACTGTGAACAGCTCGCGGACTTAAATGCACATTGCAAACCAGCATCAGTTGATCTGAACTTCAGCTGTATGGATCAGAAGCTGCCAAGCTACAAAATCTACCAGGTTTCAACTACTGGTAAAAACCAGGACACTTGCCTATCCTCCCAGCAGTGAAAGATCTATCCTGCCTCAAAGCCTAAAAAGACACTCAAAAGACAACTGCTATTTCCTTGTTAAAAATATCCTGTTGTCCTCTAGAGCCATAGGAAAGATCTACTAATTAATTTGTATTTTTCTCCCTTTTTCCTGGCCATGACTATTTGCTGTGATTCTTACACAACTCATGTAATTTCCCCCCACCTTCATATATGTACTCCTTCCAAACTGCTTACTAGCTCCTGCTTAGTAAGCAATAGGTTTTAAGTCATCACAATAGTCCTTTTCAGGCCCTTGGAATTCTAGCAAGGGAATCACTCATCTAATATTGTCAACTGAGGCACCAAAGCAACTTTATAAGCTCAAGTTAAAGCAAATTTCAGAAGTCAGTACTTAAAATCACCATGCTAAAAATAAATTTAAGAAAGTTTGAAAAATTTTGGCTTACTAGTAGGGAAAACATACACAAGAATATTCCACATTTCCCATTGGGAGTATCCAACAACAAACTAAGAAACATTCTCAGAAAAATCTAATAGGTAGCATTTCAGGTAAGTGTCAGAGTTCATTATGGAAAAAAATAAAAATCACAAGTCTTATCAACAATAAGAAATAACAGAAGCTTGGGATACAGGTAAGTAATGAAGTTTTGCAATGTGTCTCCACCTCTTTGGTGAAAGGCATTCAAATTACATATTTGAATGAGCATTTATAAATTTATCTGAAATCTGTACCTCACTCTTTTTGTCCACTTTGCAGTGGATCTTGTCATTAAGCAGCATCTGACTTTCCCTTTCTGATAGATCATTCATCTATGAAAAATATGCTGTCATTACTGATACTGTATTTCTCATTCATATTAGGCTACACTCTGAATTTCAGTATCTGTGTAGTGTTGCAGCAGCCAATTATTTCTCCCTTTGTAATTTTAAAGGTAACTAGATGCAATATTTGGACATGTAGCATTTTTAATCTGGAAAGGTGCTGTTATAAATTATTTATTATTTGCTATGATCAATCATCAAATTGAGAGAGTAGGTTGAAGTGACAAAGAAAAGGCATTTTCTCTGCAACCTATTATATGTTACATCACATGCATTTTTGCGTAACACATAAACTTTAAATTTAACCTAAAATATTTTGTGCAGAGATTCTTTTTGCCAAAGTAAAATAAAAACTTCAACCACAATCATGAGGCTGCATAGCCAAAAGAATTCTGGGCAAACAATTCCTGCTAATTTCAATTGAAATCAGACAACTAGCTCATCAGGGGCATTTGAAACACTGGATAAGAGTTTCTAAGCAGAAATATATTAAAATATTTCCTAATAAACACATTTTCCAAAAAGGTACTTAATCATGGGGTATGTAGACATAAGTGGGATACAGTAATAGCCTTGGTCTAGTCATTGCATTTTTTGCTCAGAAAGGGTATACTGTCATTATAATTTTGTATTTTATCAGCAAATAGGAATTTAGCATGACATTTATAAATAATTTCTACTAATGCAATACTCTAAGTTAAAAAAAGTAATTTGTTAACTTTTTAAAACAGCTGCCTGTTTGGAAATAAAATCCATGATTGCAACAGAGACTCATTGCTAAATATTCCTTACATTGTTACCCTCTTTAACTTGTCTCTCCATATAAGTAGTAAGTGAATTCTCACAGATAAGTAAACCAGAGGGAACTGGTTTTACACCAGAACTGCCAATAAGGTAGCCAATAAGCTGTGTTCTCAACTGTGCGGCAGAAGAGGTCTTCTCTCCTCCCTACTTATCAGTAAGGAAAAAAAAAAAAAACAATTAATAATTGGGAATTTTTATGTGAAAGGATAAACATCCTTACCAGCATAGTCACATAAGTGGGCACCTACTGCTGGATCTCTGGCACACTAATCCATTTCATTTTGTACGAGAGGTGGGGTTCCTGTGTATATTCTACTTCCAAATGTCTCATGGAGTCACATTTGAGGATTCCCACTAATGTTTGGAGCTTAAAAATACTACTGCAGCTGAACCTAAACTAGAATATTATGGACTAATTTAAAGAAATCCAACAATATTCACAAAATAAGATTCTTTATTTAGCACCACACACCAATTTATTGAAATCCAAGGAGTCTTTTCCTTCCACCTAGTCCAGATTTTCTTTTGCTAGAAGTTCCAGTTTTACATAATGAAGAATGATGCAAAGCGTCTGAAGGTAGGTTTGACCTCCAACACCACTTGGGGATGAAGTCACTGTTGTGCTGTTTTGTAAAGAGCACCTTGCAGCCCTAGTAAGGAACTTACTAAATTCTCTAACATGGGAATGGCTAAGCAAAACTTCAAGTGGCTTCTTTCTTGCCAATTGGAAGGTCTGCTAGTCTAGGAAAATGCTGCTGGCCTATTGATTGTATTTTGTGAAGGGACACCAATTCTTGACATGATGAAACAGTTATCTGCATTAGGAATGAAACTGCATAACATAATGTAAACTAAGAAAATGACAAGCTAAACACACAGAATTCTTGAGCTACTCTAAAAAAAGATAATTGTTCAATTAATTTTAGATTTACAACAACTAGAGTCTCTCGTACACTACAGCTCTTTATTACAGAAAGACTTAAAGATGCTCTTTCAGAGGAGTTGCTAATTGATCTCTGCTTACAGGTCTTCAACAATTTAGGAAAAGATAAATTGAAATCCAGGAAGTGCAGAAAAAATACCTCTTTCATCTTTGATGCTAGCATAGATAACAAATGTTGACTTATAATTAGGAGTTTCCTTAGCAATGCTGGCTGACCATACACTTTGGACTCACCAATAAGGAAAAACAACAAAAAAGACAGATGTGACCTCCTGTAACGTCAGCAGTGCACTGGCAGTTATCCTTGAGAAGGGAATGGGAATTTTCTTCAGATCACAAAAAGGACAATTAAAAAAACCCCAAACATTACAAGAAGTGGACTTCTGAGATTTCCTTTAACAGAGATTTTCAAGTCTGAACCAAATTTAAATGTACATAGCAAGAAGAAGCCTCTATGCCACCGTAGTGATCAAGGTAACCCTTCAGGCTAAGCACTTACCTTTTCTGATAATACCAATGTATATTTTTAACACTTAAATTAAAAATAAATAAATAAAATCAAGACGTATTTCAGAAAAGAACAGAAATTGGTAAGAAAATCTGGGGAAAATAACCCCACAATACTCATGACTGAAGGCGGCCCAAAGACAATCTATTACTTCTTCCTGAGCTAGCAGAAAAAAGTGAGTACAAAGCTGCACAGAAGAGATGCAAAGACCTTAGAATTCTAGTCCTTAATACACTACACCACCTTCACGAGCAGCAAAGGATAACCACCATCTTTCCAGAAACCCTTCAATAAACACTATTTATAAGAACACACGTTGCTGCTATGAAAAAACACAATTGCTGCTATAATCAGATCAGGTGGAAATGGATAAAAATCTATAAAACCTCTCTGGAAAAAGGAAGACTTAAGAAGAATACTTCTCTTTTCTGGAGTAAGCAGAGCATGGACTCCAAACTTGAATAAAGTCCACCACATTTGCCAGAGGAGGAAACTGACCACAAAGCAAGACTTCCAGAGCCTTACAAGAGGCAGGAAACCCCTCAGTACCACGCTGAGAGAAATTATTAATTTGCATAACAAATACAAAACATCTGAATAGCAAGCATGCTTCACAAGCTTTGAACTAAGGAGTAACTCATTAAGTTGTTCTAAGAGTAATTTGTACATGGCAGCTATACAGTAATCCAAGAAACACTGAAATGAGGTTTCAGTAAGCAGCAGTAATGCAAACTGCTTTATTTCTACTTTTTATGGTCATTTTGATAGCTTAAACTCTAAGTATTCATTTATCACTCTAAATATTCCACATCACAAGCTATTCTCCAGAATATCAAGGGAAAAACCCCAAAAATCTAAATTTAGGAGTTATAAAGCTCAAAAGTTGTTTTCAGAACTCAATACACATCTATGCACTTCATTAATTTGTGAATGCAGAGAATACATTCACAAGCATTTTCTGCCAGGAAGCAAAACAGGACTGCTGCTTTGTTCATTCGCATACTAATGCCTAACATGGTTTAAGCTGACAGCTGTGTTATGTCTATGTTACTGGTCATTCAATTCAGCAAATCGGAAAGTTTACCACCTCTAGAAAAGCCTTTAGAGTTTGCTGTGTTGGCAAACACAAATATGTCCCTATCAGATGACATTAATAACATGTCTCAGAAAATTTTCTGAACACTACTCAACTACATTTATACTTCAGGGAAGAAGGGTTTACCTTCTCCGCTTTCTGCTGCTTGGAGGCTGAGGGAAAGTGCTCGCAAGATTATCTATGTTTCCCACAAAGGATTTTACAAATGTTTTTCTTCATTTGTGACACTTCAGAAAAATAAAAAATGAACACCCAATTACCACTAACTTACAGGACAAAACAATATTTATTCTTAAGTAGTATTTTACACTTTACCCTAATTACTGGGCAAGCTAGTTATAAAAAGTTCATTAGAAGGGAAGTTTAAATTTAGTAAATACTGTGTTCAAAACAACAAATAAGAAACTTCAACACACCAAAAACTAAAGAAAACATGTCCAAAAGAGACAAAGTGCAACCCATGCAATATTTTCCTTCTGCTTTTAAATTAACTCAAACTTAGCATAACCTCCTTTTGGTGATGTAGCAATGCAGATTGAGTCACTTTTCACGGTATGGAGGAGCAGAAAGCAATGACAGCAGCAAAGGCAGGCCTTGCAGTCTATCTGCTTAAAATTCACACCCTTTCACCTTGCATGTGTGTGGAAGAAGTGGAACAGAAAATCACTTCCACCTGGACCACTGCTTCTCTTTATCTGTTAAAGGCACATATATCACTCCCATCAGAGGCTTCATTTTGACACTGCCATCTTCTAGTTTGTCATACTGTTCGAGCATCTGGTTTCCCCCTGCAGGACCAACTGGTAATATCAATCTTCCGCCAGGCTTTAACTGATCTATAAGCTAGAACACAACACAGAAATTAGAATGTAACCAGCCACCTCAGAGAAGATGGATCCTAAGTTTGTTACATTAGATTAATAGCTTTGCCACAATTTATCTATCTACTATTGTGCAGTAGATAACTACTTCAATTAGGAAAAATAAAAAATGCACTGAAAATGAGAGTATCACAACAACATGGTACAACAACTGGTATTACAGAAAAATTCACAATAATTTCATATAATTCCAAAAGAAGGTAAAATAGTAATTGGATTAACTGGGTTGGTTGCAGTTTTAGTTTCTACATAAGAGAGGAAAAATATGTAAATCACAAATTATTTTTACAGTAGATTCAATCTTTTTAAACTGCCAATTTTAACTTTGATACTTAGTGTGCACCAGTACAGGCCCATTGTCTAACATTTTTGGGATAAGTGTTCTCCCCTTAAGCCCTCAGAATAAGATTTGAGATTTGTAACTTTTTTATTTATCTTCCTGGAATAATTTTAAGTTTTCTACAATACACTCACTACCCAACAGCTGCTCTTTCATTCTGTGAATGGAACATTTTATGAAACTAGTCTAAAATATATGAATATGAGTAAGATAAGTGACAAGTAAAAGAGTATGTGAGAGAAATGCTTGGGGTTTTTTTGCTTTCATAATTAAAGAACGAGGCTAATCACAGTAGTCTCAAGGAAAATTCAGTACTTCTCAGACACCATGAAAAGAATCTTAATCCATGTTACTAACAAAAGTTATAATTAAGAACTGTTTCATTCACTAATAAGCTTTAAATTACCTTTTTAACTGTCATCTGTCAACACTTTGCTGGGAACACCCCCCGACACCCACCCCAAACTAAAACAAACAAACAAAAAACCCAACGACCAATGTCTGGAAATGTCTAACCTGTCTATAGCACCTCAAACCTCCAGTCCTTCATTATCCCTCATTAAAGTTCAGATTTAAAAAAACTTAACTGGTATCTAGCACAACAAAATCATGCTATATATTCCCATTCACCTGATGAAAGGAAAAAAAAGAAAAATCTTATCTACAAGAATGGACTTCATGTATGCACACTCTAAAGTCCCTAGTTACTCTTCCGCTTCTCTAGTAAGAACTGCCCTGTATCCACTCTGAAAGCTACAAACACATGGCATTGTCCTTACTTCCAGCTGAGCACATTACTTTTCCAACAGGCTCAACGCCTTGGAACCTGGGAAACAAATACCTAAATTTTGTAATTCAGTGTTTGATAAACCAAATTAATTCATTAAACAAAATGCTACAGTTCATTGTTGTAATAGAGGGTTGTGCACAAGTCATTTAAAAGTATGTTTATTTAGAGGACAGTTATTAGAACATACAGCTTTTGGAAACCAACAGGAAACCCAATTATAACAAAAACAAAAAACCCACACCATACAGTAATACCACCCTGCCCACTGATACTCCCACCAGTGCAAGTCTACCAAGTATTTTACATATATATGCATGTAAAATGTTCTTTACAGCTAAGAGATTACTGAATCACACACATAAAACATAAAGGCTTACTGCTTGGGGCACAACTGGTGCTGCAGCTCCTACGTGAATCGCATCATAGGGAGCTTCTTCTGCATATCCCATTCTTCCATCTCCCACTGCAAGAAAACACTTTTTTTTTTTTAATATTTTCAAAAGGAGTGGAGAAAACACCTGATCTGCCATATCTATAGGTAGATAAAAGGCTATGCTCAGTTTCTTCTGCTGAGCAGTAATAACATGATTAAGTCAGTTTAAAAATATTAACACAATTGTAAAATAGATGCAACAAAACACCCTCATACGTACATACACACACTTATAAAAGATATGAAATATTACTGAAACACCTGAAATCAAAGCATGGATTTATAACGAAAGTTCTTGGAGACACACGGTCCACCCAGAAGAGATACTTAAGTATATATGTGCCCTACCATTCCAATGCAGGTGACTTTTCCCCTCATTTACACTCTTAGAACATACGCTTTGCTTTGCCTTGCCTTCACGCACACCATTCCTAAATATTATGCAAATCATAAGTCTAAAGCATTAAATCTCAGAAGCACATACCAGAAAACTCCAAAGGTGAGGAAAAGACAACGCAAGTATTCACATGGACTATACACCTATAACTGCACTACCAGTTGGAACAAAAGTCCAAACCTACACTCATACATTAATGCAGTACCCCTTTGACAGCAGATGGGTCTCACTATCCTTCCTGCAGACAATTGCTGGACTAACACAGATAGCCAGGTCAGACCTGTGGCTAAAGCTCCAGGTGGCTGCTTGGAAGATGTTAGAAGTAATTAAGTTACTCAGAGGGTGACCAATGCAGCTTCAGCTTTGGTAGAGAACTCATGGAGAAGCACACTCACAGGTGTCTCATACCATCCCAGTTATGCAGGATGAAAGGGGAACAGATTGGCTTTTTTAAGCCACTGAAATGTAGCAAACTAAACTAGACCCTGAGTTAAGTTTTGAAAGAAGATTATATGAATGTGGTATCCATAGTATTTACAAGAAACCAATGGGAAATTCAGAGCAAGTTAGGCAAGCTCTCTCTAGAGTTATTTAGGAACAAAATAAGTAAATGAGGCTAAACTATCCATAAATTCACACTCAGTGGGTGCAGAAGTCTCAGTGATCAGTCAAGAAGAAAAAGCAACGACACTAATGAACATAGTCTTCTGCTCAGCACAAGTAGTTGTTTGGGGTTTCCTGTGTTCAGACTGAATTTTGACTTCTGTGCAATCACTATTATCATGGGTTAATTAAAAGGCTGAATAAGTCAAAAGTAGTTCTAAGCCCATGCCAGAGGCTGAAAATTTGTCAACTTTTTGCCTTCCAACAACTCACAAGGCAGGAAAAAGGTGGCCATAGCAGGTTTAATTTTGACCTCAGTGATAAGGAGGGCCACCTGGACAATAACAACACCCTTAAGTATCCAAGAGTGTACAGGAAGATCTGGACAGCTCCTTGAAACGGTTAAAATTGGGGAGTTTCTCATCTTCCATATTAGGTCCTGAAACAAGACCCTGCAAGGGCTTTCTACACCCAAAGCTTAAGGACTATAAGAAGAGAGCATGGTTCCCCAGTAGCTGAGAAGCCCCTTAAAGCTCAGTGACTTATTTTCTCATATCATCAATTCTGACCAGCACAAGCTCCAACCAAGGGCCACAGGTAGAAGCTGCCAAGCAAGAACTGCCAATGCTTCAAGAGAACTCATGCCTATCAATCCCCAATTCCACTAAGTCAGCTTTTATTACTGTTGCCAGTAATGAAGATGAAAGTTCCGGTATTTCCAGGGCTTAATCTCTCTGACTCTGCCAAAGTGGGTTCTACTGGAACAACCACTTCAATGCACTTTGTACAGTGCTACTAAGCAAATATACCTCCTCTAAAGAGGAAGTAGTGATATGTTACTGTATCAACCCGCTGTTCCATCAGAGAAGGCAATGGAGAAAGACTTCTTTAGCTCAAACATACAATACTGCTTTGAACGATACTAGTTACACAGGGAGATAAACCCTCATTCCCTAAGATGCAGCAGTAGGCATTAGAAGCAGTGATCTCCAGTACTGCTGGCAAAAGAGGAAGATATTGCCAAGCTGAAGAAACAGCTGTGAAAGAAACTGCTAAGTTGTCTTCTGAAGAATGCATGTATTCTGAGACTTAAACGCCCCTTGTGCGCTGCCCAGAGAAGTCCAAATGCGACTTCTGCACATCTTATCACTTCACTGACAGTAGTAAAAAGGACCCAAAACATCTAAACCCTTTGCTCTTAGAATCAATAGTCCAAACCAAAGCTACCATTTTCAAAATCAGCACACACACCAAAAAAAAAAAAAAAAAAAAAAAAATCATGCTCCTTTATATGCATCAAGCACAGCATGGCTCTTCCCTTTTAACATCCACAAAAATTCTCCTGGTTACAGCAGTCAGGTATACATCCACCCACAATGGGAACACACTTCTAGATATCCAGAAGATTTAGGAAAAAAAAAAAAAACAAAAAACCAACAACACCAAAAAACACACACAACAAAAAACACACGTTAAGTTGGCATCCATATATTCAATGTGATATAAATTATTACATTATTCAATGTCCAAGGGGAAACAGCAGCCCAAATTTTGAGCTTATGCTTACATTCTGAACAACATCACTCATCCTTCTGAGATCTCCAGTTACGTGCAGCCTGTTAATGAAGTAATCACAGTAGTGGGTGGCAGGTGGTGATAAAGGGGGAAGTAGTGTCAGGACATTCTGACATAAAAGGGTTTTGTAGCTTGTTTTTGAACCCAGACCTGATCTGCTGATCATGGTACTTAAGCCTTCAGTGTCTCTGTGCAGACCTGTTTCACACAGAATTGTAGCATGAACACAGAAACAGACGAAAACTACTTCACTGTGGTTAGAATACCCTCATCCCCTCTGGCTATGTCTGCATCAGCAAATAGTGCAGTACAATAGAAGCAGATCTGTACAGCAAAACAGTTTTTGCTGAGAACCTGATGTCCATGCAACATACGCATTTCAGAATGATCGCTCTGGTCTAGTTCTAGTCTTACTGGCTTAATATCCATTAACATATCAAACATATTTGGTTGCTTCTCAGAGCACATTATCCAGTCTAGGTTCACTCAAAAGGAATCAGTTTGAGTTCTCCAGGAGCAGTCTCATATGAGCCAAAGTGTGGTAAGTGGAAGCAGTTGAGAGATTCACCTCAAAGTCACCCTCCTGATTTTAAGAAAAAACAAAACAAAAAACAAACCCCACAAACTAATAGAGATATACCCTAAGTATACCTACTCCTCTGAGTTCTCAGTGCAGCTCTATTACTGAGACACGCCAAAATAATGTCGATGCTTCTGAAATGCAGTTATGGCATATCTGAGGTGTGACAAAACAATGGTGAATGTTTGAAGCATATCTGTCAAAAGCCAGCAACTGACTTACCTAGTCTTAATTCATACAGTTGCCATCACCAATCAACCCTGGGTTTTCAGGGGTTTTTTGTTTGTGTTTGGCAGTGGGGTGTGTTTGGGGTTTGTTTGTTTGTTTTTTTAAAAAAAAAACAACACAAAACAAAACAAAAACAAACAAACAAACAAACCCAAAAAACAAAAAACCCACAGCTCTGTTTGGATTCTAGCTCCACAAAGAGCTCCCAGGAATCCACCACAGTTGAAACATTCTTCTTCTCCACCTAATTCACAAAAGTGCTACTTGTCCATCTGTATTTTTTTTTTAAATGTACCTCACAACAGAACTATTCAGAAGTCTTAGTCATCCTGCTACACAGTCAAACATAATATAGATGATGATGTTTACTTAGAATTCTAGACTCCTAAGAGCATGAGAGTTTGTTTCAGGTATAACCAGAAGCATAAGTCCAAATTGCTCTTGTACAGCAAGAATGGAAATCATCCCCCTATTCCCACTCTCCAGCCCCAACAGTCTCAGTATAACTTCTTTTCCAAGAAAGTTTAAGGCATAAGTGTTCTCAGTGAGGGACACTGCATTTTATACACGTGTACAAGTACTTGTATTTGATCAGCTTATTTAAAAAAAGATTTATAAAAGTACCTCATTTGGGGAAGAAAAAAAAAAAAAAAAAAAAAATCAAAATGGTAATTAAGAGCCAAACATCACGTAATAGTAATTTTTCCAAGCAAGTTCCTTGTAAGAAACCTCAAAATAATCCAGACCTTCAACTTCTTTTTAAACTTAATGAACAGAATGATAGTGAAGGAAATGCTTTCCTCCTGCCAGCTTTGCATCTTCTTAAAAAAAAAAAAAAACAACATCTTTTTCTTTTTAGTCAAATAAGTATTATTTAAAATACTTGTCCTTGTATCATTTTAGCATTATTTCCTCTCAGTAACTCTGACTAAATCAAAGTAGTTTGCTGTCAATTAATCACTACCCTAACATACAAAAACTGTTAATTTAAAAAAACAAGTGAAATAAACTTCAGTGATGCATACAGGCAATCTATTACTTTTTCCACTTGACTGTGTGTGCAGCTTTCTCAATTACTATATCAGAAGTATGAAGGCTTTGTTAAAATGCCCAAATTTAGATGATAGTACATTTATTCAAGAAAAGTTGTGCATTCAAACCCAATTTTAAATAGCAAATTTAACATGACAGACCTTCAGCATGTAAAGTTACTTTCACCGAAAAACACTTCCCTATAGAATGATTACATATTCTTTAAGATTACTAAAACTCATATTCTCAAAACTGTATGAAGATGGTATTTTTCAAAGGCCTAAAGATGACTTGGATTTTTAAATTTTCATTTGGCTCCTCTTTCTTTGGTTTAACTTCTTAAATTAGAATTTTTAATCACATCCAATTCCAGTCAGTTTCAACCAGCTGCTAGAAAGAATATCAGTTTAATTAGTAAGTATATCAGTCTGATGCTCACCAATCAGTTTCACTCTTCCTGAAGACAGCAATGTGGGATCATCTTTTTTGACATTATTTATTGAGTCATCTACTAGTTCTTTGATATGATCAATTCCTACAACTTGTCCTTTGGGACCAACCTGGAATAAAAATATACAGTTGAATAATTTCTGCTAGTTTTGTTTTCTTTATAGAATGAGTATTTCTATCTCCTGAGCCCATTTCTCTAAAATAAAAACAAAACCAGTAAAGTGGTAGTATATTTTCCCAATGTTATTAAAACTACTGCTTAGAATGACACATCCTGACTGCTAGAAGCAACTGCTAATTAAAGTTTGTCAGTACAGTCTTATAAATACTTTTTACAGTGATCTTTTTGACATGTGATTCAATTAAGTTATACTATTAGTGGAGATTTCTCCTCTGAATTTTTAAAAGTTAAATTTGATGAGTGTTTGCACTACCTGCAATAGAAAGTAACAACTTCAAGGACAAAACTAGAACTAACCTCCTTTCATGTTGTATAAACTTACTTAAAGATTAAGTTTTTCTAGAGAAGACCTTACTTTAAGGAAAATAGTAAGCCATGCATTTTGTTCTAAGTTTTCTCAAGAATCCTGTTCTTTCAGAAGCAAACGCAGCAATTAACAGTCAGGGACAAACTACCTTCCACCTACCCTTGCATTCATGAATCTACTTTCAGATTTACAGCTCTCTTCCACAGGAAGAGTGGAACTTTTGAGAGCTCGTTAACTCACAAAAGGTCACAAAAGATCTGTGTATTCTGAGGGGAAAAAAGGCCTACTAACAAAAACTTCTCCATTACAGGTATTTCTTCTGGAATTGTGTCTTTATTCTAGAAAAATTATTCCAGTTTTGGAGAGAGGAGAAAAAGAATCCAAACCTTAAAACCTGACCATTTTTAACAGGATCCAGCTCAAAGAACACAATGGCAGAGTATGTCCTAGCAGCCCATGTTGTCATACAGCTTTGTCTTTGGACACATTTGAATGCATTAGTTATGATTCTGTATCTTACATTCTAATGTTGCTAAGACACGGAAAATTAACAACTGGTTATGGATAACATGGGTGGGGGTGTGTGTTCTGTTTTCTTATGGACAAGTCCTATGTTAAAAACATCCGAAGAGCAGTGTTATCTCTTCTTCTTCAAGTGGAAGACCACCAGCCTAGCCTTTGAAACAGAGCAAGACACATGGCAAGTTTTCACTATGACAACCACAGGTTACTATTTGGAGGAACACCTGGCAGTCGGTTGTACCAGAAGCTGGCAAAAGATGCAGTGTAGTCCAACAAAGGGTAACTTCACAGAAATTAAAATTTAGCAAAATGGTCATAGCATGAAATAGCCTGATATAAAGTAAGACAACCTCCTGCTACATGTCACAGTCTGTTACACTATTGCTGAGCCCTCATCAGTTAGCTCTGTCTATTACCCTGGAACTTTGAAGTGTGTGCAATCGAGACAACAGCAAAATGGCACAATTTTTGGGATCTCCATGGTCTGTTTGGAATAAAAATCTACCCCACTCTTTTTATAATTCCAGTACTTACAGGATGAAAACTACAATTAATTTAATTTGCCAGCAACCTTCAAAAGTGAATAAACTTACTTAAATTTGTATGCTCTGTAGATAATTTTATCACAGCAGTTTAACATGAAAACCCAAACAAAAATCCTAAAGATGCTTTACTAGTCTAAGTGAACATAAAGCCTTCCCAGAAGTACCACAAATTAGATTATCATCATAGGAGTAAAGCTGTCATGACATCAATGTGCACTCAGGCACTTGTGCCGCAAATGCGAGCTATTCATTCTAGATCTCAAGTAGACAGAGAGGCAACCTCCACATGATCCAGTAAGCACATCCCCAATTGAATTTGATAGCAAAACACTTTACCACCATTCCCTATAATACACTTCTTTCGAGCTTTTGTTACTGTTAGATAAAACTTTACAGAGAAAGAAAGTCAGAGTAGTACATATTGTCTAATCTACATTCATTCAAGTGGATGAAGCAAGATCCATATTGCCCAGTAACAATGCTATCAAACAAAACAGAAGTATTTATCTAATCTTTCACAAAACACGTGTCCGTAAGGCATTCCACAGCATACCACCAAGGAGGATTCAGAAGAGGAACATGACATTCATATGGCAACAAAAAGATGGTGTGATTAGCTTCAGCAAAATTGGAAAGAGATTTCCTTTCTGTGCTAATTCTGACTTCCCTGCAGATGTTTTCAGCTATTTTTATATAGCTGTTTTAAAAGAAAAAAGTGCACAACCACATCTTATCACGTCTTATCTAAAATGGCTATTCCTCTACGCATTCATAACTTTTTAGTGAGAAATACGTACAACTTTGACAAAAGTTTTAACACTTGCAGGATTGGAGTTCCCATGCATGCTATTAACACTTGATTATTGACTACAAAGTTAGACCAAAAATAATAGGTAGAAAGTTGAATAAGTGATATTTAAGATTTTCTCTAAACCGCAGTTTGGTTAACTTATTTCAACTACAATTTTTTTTATTTTAAATATGGCAGCTAGCACTTAAAAAACCTAAATACTTTTGCTAGCGCATTGCCCAATCCTAAACATTCTTATCTAATTCTTAACACAGGAAACCAGAAGTGATTGCAGACTCAACAGATCAGTGCTTGAAAACGGAAAACTAAGTAGCAAAAAAAACCCATAGGAGAATTTATCATGTGCATCACCATATTCCAAATTAACTTCTCAGAAAGACAAAAAAAGAAAAATCTAGTTGGCAGTTTAATGAAGGTCTCTGCTAGTTATAATGCAATGATAAAGTCCTGGAATGGAGAAGGAAGAACGGATTATATTCCACTAATAACTTAGTCTAACAGTACTGTAGTTAACAGCCATCATAAAACAAATTTTTTCATCTTTTTTTCCTGATGTAACATGGGGTGGAACCACAGAGAGTTCCTTACATACAAGTTGAACAACCCAGAGATTAAGTTACTTGGAAAATATGTAAAAAGAATATAAATTAATATTTAACTTAGAAAAGATTAAATGGATACTTAAACTGATGCTCATGCAATACAGTAACAAGAAAAAAAAAGTTAAATTCAAAGACAATTTATATACATACAATATATTTTCCTATGGAAATAGGATTCTTTTAGGTTTCACTAAGCTCTCATCATAGCAAGAAGACATGACAATTGATCACAACAGAAACATTCATAGCTACATAAGATAATATAAAAATTGGGCTGGACAAGACAAACATCTCCTTCCTTCAAGCTATAAAGCAACCACTAAAGTGTAATCAAGAAAAAAAACCCCTCCCCTCTAGGCAGTTTCTTTACCACCACATGATTTACTGGGTCCTTTAACTCAACCATCTAGTATCAGCTAGGGTAGGAAATGGGTACTAATCACACCCAGGAGAGTAAATTATTTTCTGTATAATCTACATCAGTCCACTGTACGAAGGATGCTCTCCCCACCGCCTTTAATTCAGAGTTATGTTGCAGTTCAAGCAGTTCTGATAGTCAAGTGATTAAACTAAATATCTCACCATTCGTGAAAAGCATGCTGTAAGGATTCCACTTCCAGATCCTACATCAAGTGCTTTGGCTCCTTCATGTAACTGATCAGACAGAAGTTCAAGAGCATATGCATGCTAAGAGAAGACGACAGAGACAGAAAATTTCAAAATATTTTCAGTGTCTAGTTTACCCAATATATGTTCATTTCTTCAGTGATTTTGGGCAATGCACTGAGGATTTGTGTAAGAAATTTCAGAATTATTTTCCATTACAAAAAAAGGGGGGAAGTTAATTACATGATATAATCATTGCTATTTCATTGACTTCAACAAACCGTGTGTGTGCGTATATATATTTTTTTTTTTTAGTACATATAGATGTAAACTCATCTGACCATTCAAGCTTCTAGCTCACACTCAGTTTAGATATAGTTATTGGAAGAGACAACATAAATCAATTTAATTCTCTTCAGGTCTGGTGGTTCTTACTGTTCCAGCAGTATACAGCCCATAAAGAATTCAGCTTATCATTATGCTATATACATTGGAATATGCTGGGACAGAGGCTAGTTAGGAAGAAGGCAGCTCTGGAGCATCATGGAAAATGGCTATTAAAACTACCTCTTGTATTACCTGCACACTTGCTGAATCAAAGAGCAGGAAAAAGAGGTTGCCTTTAACAAAGGCAGATAGCCAGGCTCATACATGAAATGTAGTAGTCTACAGACACACTTCATGAGCAGTTTTGCTTTCCTACATGGTGCACCAGTACACAAACTAAGCTTAGGTCACACACTAAAAAACCAATTCATTCTTTAATGTTTCAGAGATAGCCATTACCACACTCTTACCGCTTAATCCACCACACCCAGAAAACAGAAATAATTAGAAGATTTATTGTTAAAACATTTATTGTTAACATTTGCTTAGACAATGTATTTCCTTTTTGCTCTAACACTTCATATACTACTAGTGCTAAGCTTAGGATAATTCAAGGATAATGACTTAGGTGAGTTAAAACTTTGAAAACGTAACTAATATTTATTTTCTCACTTAGCCACAGTACTCAATCATTAATATCTCTATACGAAATTCCTGATTGATAACTAGGTAAATTCTAACCCAACTAGGTAGTTTTTAGTCAAGAGGAGCAGACTTACTGTGTATTGACACTTTCCAAACATCACAAGGACAAAATATATACTTCTATTCATCCTTCATCTCAAATAAAGAAACACAGGAAAATTATGTCTGTTCTAGATTTATGTACTTAAATCCAGCTGGTGGCCGGTCACGAGC